TAATGAATATGAGGTATTTTTCCAGTACGATACTGATCGGAACCTTTGTTGAATATAAATTATCTTTCCAGTCTCATACAGAAAGCAACGCGCGCTTCCTCCGATTTGCTCCGCATCTCTCTCTCTCTCTCTCTCTCTCTCTCTCTCTCTCTCTCTCTCTTTCTCTCTCTCTCTCTCTCTCTCTCTCTCTCTCTCTTCATAATAGTTTAGTTTCATCAGCGTGTGTGCAGGCAGTAAGCCTTGCTCTGCCCGTACATGCTATCTGTCTCTCTCCGATGGACCTCATAACAGGATGACACCAGGGAAAAAACGCTTCAATCCTAGGTACACTACTGTCGTTTCTGATCCCTGCGGCTGGTCGCGATCTGTTGTATAGCCTGCAGGTAGCTGTTACTTTGAATAAGTACGCTGTACAGGTTGGCTTGTGTTCCTTGCAGGTTTTGCCCTCCGCGATGTGTGTTTCCACCTGAGAATCGACCACTGCGAAAAAACTCAGAATAGGACAGAGTACGTATCTGTATCCCGAAACACCCGTTGCAGTAGCATAGGAACGTTGCACCAAACAGGCAGACAAACATGGAGGGACTGGGGCATTTGTCTCGCAGAAATTCACCCGATCCAGAAGGTTTGCGACACGAAATCAATCTTCAGTCGCAGATATTCGCATCATTGGAAAGGGAGGTGGATTGCATGTGCGAAACACTGATCCGCAGAGGTGATTTTGTGGTCGTAACCGTGCTGGCAGATAGAGAAGTGTCTCGTGTCGGTGTTGTTCAAGCACGCGCATGTGCTCTAGAATGGGCGGCGAGGGTGAACAGCCGACTGAAAGCAGCGCATGAGCAAGCTATTGCATTTTCTCGGCAATATGTCGCACTATACGAGATCACGACCGATAACTTGTTTGCATGCCAAGTTGTCGAGGACGACATGCGAGCAAACGCAAGGGAGAGAGATTACCAAATGTCGCAGTTGATTTTAGAATTGTCACGTTCAAGGGACAATTGTCATTATTTATAACAGCGAATGGCCACCCTCACAGACAACCTCGCATCCTTGCATGGTGTTTTGCAGATTGAGGAGTTGAAGGCTACCGGCATGCTTGCATCACACACCCGACTCTTGTTCTTCATCTTCCTCGTGCCCCGTGTGATTTGGCAGTTCACGATGTTGTTCAAAATGCATTCGGCCCGGTTGCTAGCGTTCCCAATGTTACCTTGTTCTTCGCTGTTGAGGGCAGTTGTTGTTGCGTGCATGTTCTTATTGTTGTTCATGACACTGCCGTCGACAGTGTATTGAAGAGAGAGAGAGAGAGAGAGAGAGAGAGAGAGAGAGAGAGAGAGAGAGAGAGAGAGAGAGAGAGAGAGAGAGAGAGAGGCATGTGTGTTACGCAATTGCAGGACGAACAATTTCCGAAATTGTTCATCCTACTGTACTTTGCGGATCATCCTTTGATCAGTTCTGTTTCCATTGCTCGGGCATGCAGGCTTAGCGTCCTCACTGTGATTGTGTCGTGCAGAAGAAGGTGGTAAGCAACTGAACATACGCAAGAAGGCATGGTCAATTGGCATGGGCCCTCACAGGCATGTGCAAGCATGGTCACGCAGCAAGCCAGCCCAGCAATGCATGTTGCTCACCTGCAACACACCGATGCGAGGAGGATGCCTGTGAACGACGTTCATCCGTGTACTGTGGGGACACCTTCCTAACAGCCCGCCACCTTCACGCAAGTTTTCCCGCATGGCGTCAGTGGTTGCTCGACGTTGGCAGGGAAACGATCACGGGAAGAATTTGAGGAGCCTCAGGGCGATTTTGACAACATGATGTGGAGTTCAGATGATGGAGAGAGAGAGGACGATGGAGAAGATACAGGCGGGGAATTTACCGACTTCGAATGGTGCGCAACCACCACTCTGTCACAGCCTGTCAACGAAGCAGGGGTTCTATGTGTCGGCCAAGAGTTTGCGAACATTGCAGATCTCCGGAAGGCAGTCGCCGACGATGCCGTGAAGAACAAGTACGAGTATCGCTGCGTGAAGTCCGATACAGCGCGGTACACCATGAAATGCAAGGCTGAGAACTGCGATTGGTGGCTGCACGGCTCAATCATTGACGGTGGACCGACGTGCAGCATCAAGTCCGTGACGAGGCACACGTGTGGCGACATCTCCAAACTGTCGAATGTCAATGCAAAGGCTTCATGGGTTTCCCGATTCATCGAGCCGAGACTGTCGGACAAACCTGATTACTCACCGGTAGATATCGTGAAAGATATTTATCGACAATATGGCGTGAAAATCAGGTACCGCCTCGCATGGACAACAAAGGAGGTCGCGAAGGCGAGAATTGCTGGGCTTGACGACGACGGGTTTCGGAACCTCCGGATGTATTACGAGGAGGTTCAACGTTCTAACCCGGGAAGTCGTGCATTTGTGCAGACCGAGGAAGGATCGCCTCGCTTCAAGCGTTTGTTTTATGCGCTTGATGCTTGTCTTGCCGGTTTCATGCACTGTTGCCCACTGTTGGGCCTCGACGACACGTTTTTAAAAACAAGGCACAAAGGTATTCTGTTATGCGCAACGGCCGTGGACGTTGAGGGACACCTGTTCCCGGTGGCGTTTGCAATTGTACCCGGCGAGGACAGGGACAATTGGTTCTGGTTCCTACATCACCTCTGTGCAACTTTGCAATCATAGGATGATAATCATCGAAGAATAACGTTCTTATCCGATCGGGACAAAGGTCTCATCGATGCAGTAGGCGATGTGTTTCCGGATTGTCCTCACGGGTATTGTATGCGACATCTCGCCGACAACCTCAAGAAGCGTAACAATGGACCTGAGTACCATAAGTTGTTGTGGGCAGCAGCGAAGGCGACGAACATCCCGAAATTCGACAACTTGATTGCACACATGCGAGCTACGGACGTCGACACGACGGGCTGGTTGTTACGCACGTGCGATCCGGTTCACTGGGCAGACGCGCATTTCAAGGGGCAGCGGTATGGTCATTACACTTCAAACATTGCAGAGTCCCTAAACAGTTGGATAATGGAGGCTATAGAAAAGCCTGCCATGTTCATGCTGGAGGACATCCGCCGCCGATTGTGCCAGCGCTTCGTCGACCGTCGAAAGGCAGCAGCACGAATCGAATCCGTGCTTGTCCCGCTAGCTAAGCACGCGCTGATAACGTGCAGAGACAAGGCACGCAAGTTTCAAGTTGTGCCAACAAATGACGACATATTCGAAGTGTTGTGCAGATCTTCCACGAACCGCGTAGTTTTGAGCGAGAGTTCGTGCACGTGCGGGTGGTGGGGGTCACGAGGTATCCCTTGCCCGCATGCAGTCATCGCCATCCTCAGCACCAACCAGTGCCCGAGAGGTTTCTGCTGCCGGCATTTCACGAAACGACTGTGCCATGAGACGTACGAGGGCTTGATTAATTCACTGCGGCCAAGGGAGATGTGGGGATTGTAGAGGGACGGCGGAGTTGTTGATGGTGGGGCAGACGAAGCTGGGTTAGAAGACGTTGAGGGGGATGTGGACGAGAATGGTGTGTTGCCTCTGTGGCACGCGCCGGTCGAGGCCGTCGGGCGAAGGTTCGCAAGCGCGGGAGAGCGGACGGCAAGGCCACCCGGGCTTTTAAGTGTGGTCTTTGTGGGGGGTACGGACACTCCCATCGGACCTGCAAAAACGGGCAGAAGTAACGGAGTAGGCGAGACTTCATTGACGGTGTGTGTGTGTGTGTGTGTGTGCGTGTATGTGTGTGTATGTATGTGTGTGTGCGTATGTGTGTGTGTGTGTGTGTGTGTGTGTGTGTGTGTGTGTGTGTGTGTGTGTGTGTGTGTGTGTGTGTGTGTGTGTGTGTGTGTGTGTGTGTGTGTGTGTGAGAGAGAGAGAGAGAGAGAGAGAGAGAGAGAGAGAGAGAAAGAGGAAGGGAATTATATGGCTTTCTGGAATCGGGGTTTGTGGGACTTAAGGGCGTCCAAGAGCTCCCTTTTCGTGTCGAGATTTTGGAAATTGTAGGCTGGGGCAGTGGGCCCCTGTTCATTACTGTTTTTCAAGGAAAAACAGTTGCCATGCTACTCTCCCTTTCACTCAATTTGTCGCCTTTGGATATATGTGATGACAGCAAATGCAGGCTGGGGCAGCGGGGCAGTGGGCATGCGAGGTTGGTGCAAATTCGAAGGCTGAGGTTACCTGTGTGTTAGCCTCACCTCTTCCTCTCACTCATGCTCATTACTGCCATTATTGTCAGGGGTTTGAAGTAGACAGTCTGGTAGGATTGTTAGGTTGGTGTGAGTGAAGCGAACCACTGTTTGGCTACCTTTGTCAGTGAAGCGAACCGCTGTTTGCCTACCTGCTTGCCTTGCTATAGAGTGCCTTGTCAATGCCTCACTGTGTGGTTTGCTGTGTTTGGCCACTTTCAACATGGTCTGAATGAGGTGTTGACTCAAAGCATTGTTAGGGTATTATGCAGACCGTTTACTGTGAGGGGTTCCAGGTTTGTAATGGGTCAGTGAGAATCCTAGAAAACAGTCTATCATTACTGCTGTGTTACCGATGAGAGGTGTCCTTATGTGTCATCTGCTTCCGTTCGTTGTATCTGCATGTGGGTGTGGAACACAGAGTGAATAGGGGGTAACTGGTTATGCCCGGAACTGGCATAGATGGGCGTGAGGCTGAGAACTGCGATTGGTTGCTATAGCGTGAACCGACACACACCGACTCCTCTTTTTCTTTATCTTCGTTCTTTCATCAGTTTCTTCTGCTTCTCTTAAAATTTCTCTCCATGTTTTCTTGTTTGCATTTACACATTTGGTCGCATGATGGGCTTGTTCCCACATCCTTTCAAAATCAAACGTGGATACAGGTTTCCTTCTGGTTTGATAAAATCTTTGGCGTGGCAGTTGAGGCTTGGGATATGAATTTCAGAAGGAGTGCTGGTTGATATGAGTGGCTCCTGTTTTTCAGGGAATCTGTTGGGAAAATTGGGTGCATGTTACCGGCATAAGCAATATCCTCAAAGCTCTGCAAAATGGATATCTCTCTCCACACACACACACACACACACACACACACACACACACACACAC